AAATTCATCTGCTGATTTCATGACCATTGTACCGAAGAGAGAAGCAAAGCAAATCGCAGCGCAAATAGAACTCCGCTTGTCGATGATCGGGAACAGAAAAAAGTTGCCGGAGTAATGGCGATCTATAAATTCATGCGGCGCAAAGGATAGCAATACGTTAGCGGTAGACATTAGCAAATGAGCAAGGTAAATAACGACGTCAATCGGTACGCGCGCGCAACGCTCGTACTAACGTACTGCTCGGTAACGAGATCTCGATGGTGCGCACTTGTGCGCGGACACACAAGAACGAACGAATGAACGAAGTGGAGCCCCGCGAGGCATAAATCGGCGTAAGAAGCCTAAGCAGCGCAATGTAAACGATTTTACGACAGCGTGTTGGCCGGATGTAAACCACTTAACCGGAGGCAAATTGACTATACCGGGGCGCAGTTCGATTGGCGAGAAATCGATTATGGTTTCATTTTATTGGTCATTATAACGCGAAGACCAGACCTGACGTATTTCCGAGCACGTCGATGAAATCCATCTCCACTTTCTTTCGTTCCCCCAGTTTGAGCATTTGTTACCACGAAACACGTCGCTCGAAGAAAAATCTCTGAGAGACGTTTTATTTGCGGCACGCGTTTCTGTGTCCTTTTATCCCTTATCTTATGCTATAAATCCAAATAAAAAAACTATGCTATAAGAATAGTATTGTTCTCCAATTAATTACAACTGATACAATTAATCATGTATATTCTTGATACATTCTATAAGTCATTTGCAAGAAATTCTTAAGATCTAAACATTGCTAAAATAAATAAACAATTAACAAAATAAAAAATCATAAATCCATGGATGCTGAGTCCATTTCCATAATACATGATTTAAATAGATTTCAAGATAGTATGTATTCTCTCTCCTCCGCTCTCTCTTCACAAAATTAATAAAACAATACTCCATTATTGGGTAGCACCTCGAGTAGGAACGCCGAGAATATCAATCTGAGGAATCGCTAGGAATCCCGCGGACGCGATGTCCCGCGAATAAATTATATTTTGCACTCTACGGCACACGATGGCAATCACTGCGGTATTCATGCGACGCGAACGACAGAATTACTGTCATCATTTGCGATTTATTTTTTCATCGATACTTTTCATACGACTTTCTAAAATCTATCTTTAAAATATAAACCAATTCCAAAATCATGTATGTTTTTACTATAAGAAATTTTTAGTAATAAAATAGATAAGTTTTGTTTTTTAAAATTTGCTGATAAATTATTTTTTTAGAGAGATTACAATAAAAATAAAATCACGCATGAATTTACGCGAATTGGGTCGGTTTAAAGCAAAATTTTAGTATTAAGCTTTAAGCTATTGATCCAAAGTTCAGGGCAAAAGCCGAGACCTGGACCCTCCATTGAACAAACTGAAATACTTGTCACGTGTGGACATAAATAACTGTCGGATGTCGATAAATGTATTAAAAACTCACGAACCGTGGCTTTATTTCATTCCTGGTATCAAAGAATGAAAAACATAGAAATAGAGGGAATGAACGATATTGACAATGCAAAAACTGTTTATCTAGCTATTTATGTGCTCAAATATTATCTTAAACCTCAATACACATTGCAAATAATAAAAGAATATTATATTTATTAATTTATATTATTTATTAAATTATTCATTAAATATGTTTTGCATTGTTACAGAATAAATAAATGTTTCACTTTTTCTATATATATATATATATATATATATATATATATATATATATGTTTACGGTTAAAATTAAATCAAAATTCTATTTCACCAAATTGGAAAAATAATATTTTTCAGAATAATATTAATCTTCTATATTATTCTGAGATAAATAAAATGTTATCATATCTTTCTATTTCTCCACTTCTTTTTCCGCATACCTAATATTAACATAAAAATGTTCAATTGTTGCACAAAGAATAAGAAAATAAGTGTCGCACGTGTAACATAATCTATATGGAAATTAACATACCGCAACGATCATTGACTTTCGCTCAAAATTTGGCCACAAGAATTTTCCATATGCACAAATGTCTGCGGAAACATAAAGCGGAAATGAATCCTACAAAGTTGCCGACCGCACACGGTCGCTCTTGAGCGTCGAAGTCCGAAGTGTATGGGGTTTAGTGTCTTTCTCTTTCAGAAACGCACGTAATACGTAGCCACCTATGAAAGTGTAAGGACATCGCCTCGCGATATACATATGTATAAATCGGTTCTCGTCTATCTTCTCCTCTTTCTTCCCAGCTACCGACCCTTGCCGCAGCATGAATTCAGATTTTCCTGAATTTTGTTTAAAATGTTTATGAACCGTGTCCGAGGGGACGGACACCACACGTAAGTCCGCAAGCATGAGTCAGGGGGAAGACGGGGAGGTATCGAGGGGAACACGCAGCTCTTGAGGAGAGCTCTCGCTTCTCCCGAAAGTTTACGCAGCCGGACCCTGAGATCGGAGCCGAAGGTTCCCATATCCTGTCGCACGGGGCAGTAAATCTCGGTAGAACGCAAATAAAATTCCGCGCGCGAGACGAGCCGCCGGAACGGAAGGAGTATGTGATCAGCCTGCGACTTTACGAACGGCGACGCGATCAACGGCCCGGAAACACCGAAGCACCGATTTGATTAATAAAATGGCGAGATCGCAACGTATATCTCCTCAAATAGCTGACATAACGAATGTATAAATTTAACTTTTAAAAGCATCCAAGGCGGTGATCAAAAGGCGATCATGCGTTCATCTAAAATATTCAAATGTACATAGAACTAGATATTGCAGTTATTCTTCAATTTTCACAAAGATATTTATATTTTACTATGAAATCATTATTATTAAATTGTGATAATTAAGTACATTCTTATTTTCAGGGCAAACTGTCTTTCAGAATAAAATATTTCTTTTCTGTATCACTCCTAAATATTGTGTTAAAATAAATTGCTTAAATTTTTTTAGTTAGTAAAGTGTTAATTATGTGTTTGTCACTAGCAAGTTATTTTTTTAAATTATATTAAAATTAAACTTTTTACACTCATGTAATTTCTATTTACATACCTATAATAAATAATATCGCTTATACAATTATAATTAGCACATTTTATTTATTGATCAGAATTCTATCTATAATGTGCCATGAATATACCTTTCTATATTGACACGCAATTCTTTAACTGACACGAACCGTCTTGTTGCATCTGAGGGTTCCCGTTTGTGCGGTTACCCGTTTTGTCGGAAATCTAACGGGGGTTCCTAGGCAAGTACATAACGCTAGTTAGCACCCCGCTGCGGTCAGTAGTGGGTGTGTTGTGACACTCAGAACGGAACAAACAAACATCGTGTCCGTTTGGCCGAAGGGTAACCACGAGTGACCATTGACGAGACCTCAACGCAACTCCACCGGTCACAAGGACGTTTCCTTTCCTTCTCGCCCCCGCTGCTTCTCTCTCCCTTCTCTCTTCCTTCTTACACCCCACAGACATTCGGTTTCCGACAATAAAGGAAGAGGAAGGCCGTCCCTTAAAAGTTTCGACCGCGACGCTAAATAGGAAACGATACACTCCCACGATCCGACTCCGATTCCCGTTTTCCTCTCCTTTTCAACCGCACCGCATTCCCATTCTCTTCCGCGACATTAGGTTCGAGACAACGGCCGTTTCTATATCCCCGGGACTCTCGAATTCGAAGTCGTTCGTTCCGGCACGAAGGACGATATGGCGCGCGATGAATGACAATGCGCCGTCCTTAAGATTAAATCGCGGCAAGACGAGAAACGGCGGCCCGGGACCTTCGCGAATACAAGATCGGGTCGTTTCGCAAGCGTGGCTTGTCGCTTAGCTGCTGAATTGCATCACATTTAATGTCGACCAACGGAAATTGATAAGCACTGATATCTGCGGGAATATAATTAAATTGCGCATCCACGCTTTCATAATATTTTGCATTTTAAGTTGCATATTGGCTGTATTGATTAACTTCGATCCTCTGGGTTAATTTTTCGTTCTCTCTCTCTCTCTCTCCTTTTCATCTTTTTCTGAGATAAAATGAGATAAAAACTGTCAATTAAAGAAAGATTAAAATTCATAAATATCATCGAACTATTGTCATGTGCTATTTACGTTTTTACGTTTTTAATGAAAACAACATTTCAAAAGCAATTAAAGATTGCGCTTAGTAAATTAATGATTATGTTTAATTTAAATTCTCTCAGGTTTTAAAATATTTTTGAATAGCTTTAAGGATTATTCATTTTTTAAGATTATTATTTATCAATATTTTGTAATAAAATATTTAAGATAGCTTAAAAAATAAAATTATTTAATTTTGATATGTTAATATAATCTATTATATATTTGAGATTTTTAATAACAGTACAACAATTATTAAAAATTAATAACAATTCAAAATCTATACAGAATATATTTCAATAAAATGTCTGACAGTAGTTTAAACAAACTTTATTAAATATCAGTTGTTTATTGTTAATAACTGTTGGAATATAATAGCTTATAACTTGTAAGCGAAACTATTCATATATATTTGTACAATGTTTTTTGTTTCAGTTTACCTTTAGAATTTCATGTTTATGCGTTACACGTTTGTGTATACGTGCATTTAACTTATTGTCATAAATACTGAAACGGATCTAGAACGAAGTAGACGCAGTCGATCGGTTTTCACGTAAATTGAAAATATTCGCTTACGAAAGTAACGGCGATAATCGAAGACGCGATAGAAAGAACGCTTCAGTGCGTCAACAAGCGCTTAAACGCGACAGCGCCAATGACATGTTACGATGTTCATAATTAACGCGATAAGAAGCGAGCGAGGGCAGAAAATTTTGCTCGCGTCTTTTTACACTGATCTCTTTACGTAAGCGTCGCGCATGGAAACATCGAGCACGCAAAAGAACATTTAATCGAACGAAGCTACACTCGCACTACTCCCACGATTTGTTATTGTATTCGAAACAAGATTGTATTTCACATAAGTGTTATCACCGTCCTTGTTAATTTCACCTGTCCTTGTTAATTGCGAGGAAAACAGCGGTTACTAATTCATCTCGTGAGTAATATGCTTTTATATATTTCTATGCACAAAGTGACGTAATTGACGATCGATTTAAAATCTTCGAATTTAGAAAGAAAATTTCTCACGAAGAATAAGTGAGTGAATAATTAACAAGATAACAAATTAATTGTCGTCCTCATCAATTTAAGGATTTAAAAAGAAAAATAATAAGTAACATAGATCCCATTAGTATTACAATCTTTTACATTACATTTATACAAATTATAATTATAATTTATTCTTGCTTTTAATCCATTAACTTTTATTATTTATTTATTGAAAGTGATTACAAGATTTAATAACATAATAGACACCATTTCCATTTTCATTACTCTTTAATTTATTTAATTAATTGTAATATTAACTAGAACGATATTTATTATCCCTTAAAAGCTTAGTGCTATATAATATTTTATCTCTTCCCCCTTTAAAAAAAGATTAAATTTATTTTCGTTGTATATTGAGATCTTTTTAAATTATTGAAAAGTTGAACCACTATTAAATTACTCTCACATTAAATATCTTCAATTTTCCTGTGATATATCAGAATACACACATCGGCCGATGCGATTGTCCCCATCTTCATCGAGAGCGAAGATAGTCGTTCGACCAAGAGCGCCAAACTGGCAGAAACAGCCGTTTGTGACCCCGGACCAACCCTGTGACCTTAACAGGGTTTTCGGTGACTTTCTCGGCCGGGCCGTGACGCGTTACACGTTTCTCTCCGCGGGAATCCCAGGGATTCGGGGTCCGGAACGGGGACCGGGATCGGGATCGGGATCGAGTTTTCTTGATAATCAAAATCCAAAAGCGAGTTTCACCGAACCGTACGCAGGGGTACAAGAACGTATTGCCTATCGCTTCCGGGACGCTTCTCCTAGAGAAAACTAGTTTCCTCGTCGCGGGACTTTCGCCCGCTCCTCCCGGAGCTTGCTCCCGTAATTGCCCTAGTCCTTACGAGCTGGACACTGTCCACCTTTTAGGGTGGGAACTTCGCGAGGAAATACTGGTCCGTGCTGTTTTCGAACAAAACGCTGCGCAATGTTTCTGTTCGACAAATACCTGTTCAGACTCACGACGAAGTAGTTGATACCTGATTCGAAATGCTATATCAGCTATTGCGTTCAACGTTCAACGTACGAGTTAACATATGGGTTAACGTCTGAAATTTATAGGATATTTAAACTAGAGTATAACGAAACGTGTATCACGACGAGAGAGAGAGAAAGAGAGAGAGAGAGAGAGAGAGAGAGAGAGAGCTCAATTTAGAAAT